ATGTTAGGATCTCTCATCTCGTAATCATTAAGATAGGAATGGTTTGTAGAGATTATGACTTGATTTGTACATTTCATTAAGACTAATGTCTTGTCAGATTTGATTTGTACGGGACTAAATATAACAATATTGAAATTGTAAAAGGATTTTTGAGGCCAAATCTTCACCAAAAATGTATAATATAGATGATGTTTTATCATGATCACAGAACATGATTCATTATTATTTATTTTTGGGTGTATAGGTAGTTTTTAAGAGAAAAAGTAATTTGTTAAATATGTAGTACTAGATTTTAACCCGCGGTACACCGCGGGGCTATACTTTAAACAAAAGTTTGAAAATTATCTATAGATATAACCTATTGTTTTGTTTGGTTAAATAATACTTACATATGTATATATTATATATATTACCCCGAGATACTTCGGGTCGATTTTTTATAACAATAATTTCTAAATTTCAAGTTGTATTTTTTGTTAATATTATTTATTTTATTTAGTGTTTAAGATTATATAACTGTATTTGATTGTTAATCCAAGGATTTCACCCGTAGTATACCGTCCCGTATTAATATCGACCCAAACCCGTCCCACCATATAACCCGTCCCATGAAATTAAACATCATTTTGTTATATTTCTTTTTAATAATATTTTTATTTAAAAACATATACAATTCGAGTCAATTTATAAGTTTGCTTTAAAAAACATATAGTTGTAATGTTTTTATTATAATAAAGTAATAATATATAGATGTTGCTTACTATAGTTATAATTAAAACCAACTAAAAATCTAAGTTTAGTGTTGATTATGAATCATAGTTACGACCAAAAAAAAAATTAATCAAATACAATTAGTGTAAATTAACTAATTAAGAAAACAAACAGAAATATAACAAAACTTGCTTTAAAATCGTTAACAAAAAAAGGAAACATCATATTTAAGCAAGATCTTTGGAGCCAAAATCTTTTTTTCATATCTTTTATTTAATTTTCCAAATCTTAACACAGAACATGATTCATTAGTATTATTTATTTTTGGGTGTATAGCAGTATAGGTAGTTTTTAAGAGAAAAAGTAATTTGTTAAATGTAGATAGTATTTATAATTGATGATATCTAATCTCTTGTTTTTTTACACGTTTTAAAACCTAGACTAACTCTGAACCGACTACAATCCGAACTAAACACAAACAAGTGAACATGACTTCACAAGAACAAACCAAAGTTTCAAAGATTGCGATTTCAAAACCTTCCCGAGCTGACCAAGACCAAACGGGAGCGTTTGCATTCGTGTTGCAACTTGCAAAGAGTGAACACTTGGTGGAGTCACGATGCACCGCCAGTGGTACGGTAAAAATGCAAACGAAAGCTGTAATGGTGTTCAAGCTTGACGAACAAGGCAACACAGTTCACACTCAAGACATTGAAGACCTCTGTATTTTCCTCTCAAAGTCTGAACCTTTTTGTGTCGCTACTAGCTCATTCCCTGGTATGTACTCTAACAGTGGCGAAGTCTTGGATGCGACGGAAAAACCTTTGTTTGTCTGCGTTATTCCTCCACCATTGGTAGAAATTATATGTGTGTAGCCGCTTCTTACCATATTCCACCTCAAAATATAGACTAGTAGCTTGGAACTGAAAGTCTTTAGTCATGCATTCACAAGTAGATTTCACTATTACCAGTTCATAGCTAATTGGATTGGTGCATGTTGTTGTTGTTCCAGTAGTTTTGAACATTTTTGAGATAATATTGGATTTGTCACTTCACTTTGAAAGTCGTTTTGTTGGCTTTCATAGGCCTTTGGTTTGGGATATCTGATTGAATCAAAGAATAGGTGTTGTTAAGGAAAAACCAACCGATGATCTCGCTCCTCTCTCTCTCTAATCTCGAACAGAAAGGTACATATAACACCATTTCCTCTGTTTCTACTCTGTAGAAGCTCGATCAAGTCTGGATATGTTATGTTTTATGAGGTTTTAAGATTATCTATGGTTCTTCTGTGTTACAGAAACTGAGCATGATGGTACTGAGGATGAGTTGGTGGAAATTAGTGTTGCTCAAGGTGTGATTTCGGGGAAGGATGCTTTTGAGAGAGTCAAGCTTATTGGTGATGACAAGGCTAAAGAGTTGAATAATTGCTTTGTGTATTAAGGAGCAGCCAGATGCTTGAGCTACTTGCTTATACCATGAAACCTGAATTTTGAGGATTATTTCATGGTTTGTTTTAGTCTGTTGACAACTTTGATTTTGATGTGTAGTTTATGTTGGTATTGGTGGAACCTTAATGTGTTGGTTCATCTTTATGAATGTGAAAGATTTTATGGAAGAAGAAGATAACATTATAAGTTGTTGCAAAAGTTCTTTTCAAGTTCATATAGTTTCTTTAGATATCAATTCCAACACACTTTTTACATTGCACCTGAAATCAAAAACAGAGATTTTGGTCGTAGTCCGATGTTGTTTAATTCTGAGGTTTCTGGACAGAACATGTAATTCAAGAGGCATCCAGAATTAGCAATGCGAACAAAAACTCTTCCAATGTCCTTGTCTTGTTTTCCTTTACCTCTGCAATTCTCTTAAGCACCAAAAAACATTACTCAATCAGACTTAATTAAACTCATATTCAATTTCCAATCTTTTGTATATACAAACAAATAATGAACCAAACAAACAATTAAGCCACCAATTTGTTGAGCTACAAAAGAAATTCAAATGCGAATCAAATCTTCATTTAGAAAATAAACTCAGTATTTTCGATTGTTTCAATAAACAAACTAACCTGAATAAATCCCAAACAAATCAGAGTGATCCAAGTAGATCAGAAGCCTAATTCCTGTTAGTTTAGAGATCAAGCATTTCTGCTATACATGAAATTATAAAGAAATTCTTCGAATTGATAAAGAAAGCAATTGAATTCACACCTAAACTAAACCCATATGATTAATAGGAATGTTTTAAATTTTTTTTTTTCAATGGCAGCAATGTAAATATGAGTTGTGCAAAAGTGAGTTTTTTTGTTATTAAAATCGTCTCTTTTCACAACTTCTATAAGATACACTCTCTCTCTCTCTAATCTCAACTGTCACGATGATGACACCAGTGAAACGAGCCTTTTCCCGTCTTTCCATATGAACTTTCATCTCCCAAGTGCTGTTGGAGGTGTTCTCACCGGTGCCACCGGCGTTCTCGCCATGTCCTCCAAATTTGACCGAGATCTAGAAGCCAAAGAGAGAAAAGAAGGTGAAAAAAAAAAGAAGAAGGAAATCAAAGAGGCTGATAAAGCTCATAATCATGCTTGCTGGGAATCACTTCAGAAGAACAAAAACATAAAAACTCCCAGAGAGAGGCTGAAAAAGCAGCGGCAAGTGAAACTCCGGCTCCGATGAGTGTTTGCTTGCCATCAACACACAATATCCTCCATCAACAGTGCAAAAGTGAGTGTTTTGGTAGAGAATTGGAGGGTTTAGTTGGCTTGGTTTAGTTGGTGAAGAGATTGACGGAAGAACATGAATATGATGGAGTCGGACTCTGGGGAGGGAGAGAGACAGATAAATAGGAAGGGAGAGAGAGACAGATAAATAGGATAATTAACTAGTTTGACATTAATTGAATAAAATAGATTCAATTTCTATTAGTTTATATCACTTTTCAAAAAGATGATACAAATACAAGTTTACATCATTTAGATAATTGATGCATCTATAAATTTTCGGTAACATCACTTTTTAAAATGATTCAAATTTTACATCAAGAAAAATTGATGATAATCAAAGGTTAAGTATCGGTTGTAAAAAATGATGTAAAAGTTTACTTAATTTGCCGATGTCTCACATTGCTCCCATTGTCTTTTTTCCATTCAAAATCTGTTTTGCCATTTTCTCAACCACCTTTGTACAGGTAATGAACTTGAATATATTATATAGATTATTACAAAAATCAACATGATCACCAGCTACTCCTTCTGTGTAATAGCACCCATTAGCTGTCAGAAAAAAAAACAATAAAAAAGATTGAACATTGAAAGTACATGCATTTTAGGTTTGTAATCATTTTACATATGTAAATGTGCATTTTTAGCTTTTGCATACCCTCTAATCTTGTTCCACTGATTTTAATTAAGTTTATTGTTGTGCTGTCTTTTTCATATTAAAGCGGCTGTGATATTTCAAATTTTTCATAGTAGGCTAGTGATTTAAGCAGCTCAGAAGTAGGAGAGGTGGCCCAACATGTACTCGCCCCATTGGAATTACTCTCATGCTTCTAAAAAAAAGTAATGGTGAAAAACAATACGGAAGTCAGTCCACCGTTGTTGCACTGAGAGAGGGTTTGAACCTGATCTATGACAAATAGACCACTGAGAGAGGGTTTGAACATACATATATATATGTATATATATATATATATATATTAAATGGACTACATAACAAAAAATGATATACATAGACAACATATTCAATCTATATATCTAACAAAATTGGCCTCAATATACTCATATTGGACTAACACATGAAAGTGGTCTATTTGTCATAGAGATAAAGATATCTAATTTCTGAATTTATCTTTCTTTGGCAATTAAAAAAAACAAAAATCTCTAAAATCCAAATTCAAAAGGAGAAACTCCACAAAATGGATTGAGAAGGACTTGAGCTCGGTCCGTTAGCCCAATGAGATAAACCACATAACAAAACTGAAATGGTAAGGGGAAACCAATGGAATTTAAATATCTTGAAATCCCATTTTTATTTATTTTTAGTTAATTACTAAAAACTAAAAAGTTCCAATTTCCCATCTATCCATATGAAACTATTTGAAAGAGAGAGATTTTAAAGACTGATCAAAGGCAAAGCTCACTTAATAGCATTATTTGTAAATGCATATTATGAGGAACTATATATGGAGTTCAAATGTGATCAATCCATATCAACCCATAAAGAAGCAATCCATATCAATCTATATACGGAAGAAATACAACTTTACATGTATGTAACTATGTATGAAAGAAATGCAATGGTAAATTCAATAAAAAGATAAAATTTATTTGCTGATCAGTTCTCTATTTAAGTTAAGCATGACGATTTTGGTGAGACAAACATTCACTTTCCAGCGACTTTCAATAAACGGCAAGCATGATTAGTCCAAGTTGAAAATGTAGTACGTAATCGCTCTTATTAATGAAGGTACCGCTATATATGTCGTTGAAGTTGCTTGAAGAATATAGTCTATACCAAAACAGGAAGATATAACAAGTATTCTATACCAAATAATAAATAAATACACATGATAAATGTATAGTTAGGTATCATGTCCTGAAAGAGTTAAGGTTAGGCAGTATGGAAAGTCGTGTAAAGAGCCCACATCACTTTTCAAGAGCCAAAAGATTTCAAGCTCATAGAAGGTCGATATAGAGCATTAAGTTCAGTGAGCTTACTATTTGTAATTGTAATGTGAGAATTATCTACTTGATTTAGTTCGTCTTCATTAATCAGATAAAATCTTAAATTCTCAAGACTTTGCATTTCCATTCGTATATGTGACTTATTTAGCAAGGCATGTTTGAAAGTCCCTTTCACACAGTGACTACGGTGAGCGTGGATATACCCTCTTATTCCCCATCAATAGCCAATGAGTTACTTTTGTTTCTATGAAACTAAATAAGCATACATTTGTAAGAAGAATATTAAAGTCACTTTAGGTGTCAACTCTGTTCTGTTTCCTGGGCATAGTGACTTGCATTCAGTTTAATCTGAAATCTAAATTGTTTCTCAATTTTGAACTCAATATCTTTTGTTTTATTCACATAACAATAAACTGTAGCAGAGACGTTAAATCATTCTGAAGAACCGTAAAAGGAAAACCCATCAACAAGTTACTTCACAAAGGTAAAGAAATTTTTCTCAAAGAGCACTGATATAATAGATTTGGTGTTTCCAAGGTTTAAGAGATAAAACAGACTCAAGACTCAGACTCTAACTCCTAAATTAATAGTCTATATTTTGAGGTGGAATATGGTAAGTGCCCCGTTTGTACAAGTTCCACCAATAATGGAGTCATACTCCAGAGAGGCAATTGCTGCTTCGTCGACATCACATATATCAACGCAGTTAGGGAACATGGAGCTGCTAGAACAGAAAGGTTCAGACTTTGAGAGAAAAATGCAAAGATCTCCAATGTCTTTAGTGTAAACAGCGTTTCCTTTTTCGTCTAGCTTGAACACCATTACAGCTTTTGTTTTCATTTTTACCGTATCTTTGGTGGTGGCCTTCTTGTACCACTTTACCAAGAAAGTTTCACCGGTGGTTCTTGACTCCACCAAGTGTTCACTCCTGTAGCACGAATCCAGAAGCTCCCTCTTGGTCTTAGGAAGCTCGGGAAGGTTTCGGAATCGCAGCCTCTGAATCTTGGGATTGTGATACTCTGTGCGGGGATCCCATGATCCGATGAGGTGGCCTCCAGACCCGGGAATACGAAACATGTCATCTTTCTTGGAATACATGACACGGGAGGAGAAGAAGCCGGGGTTTGCGATTCTGATGTTGATCCACTCGGAGTTACTTTGTGCCGGTCTACAAAAGCTGAGTTGAGGCCCCAAGAACTTGATAGCCACGACACAGTCCTCATCCTTGGGAGAAGATGAGGACATGGCCACGTTGGTCACGATTTGGGTTTGGCAGCGAGGCAAAGTTACAAGAGGAGGCAGGGGAATGCGTTTAGGGTTTGTATCTGATGCAACCGGGTTTAGATCATCTTGGAGACGCACTACTCCGTCGTCCTTCAAAGTAGCTACCCAGCCATGAGATGCCCCTATCGTCACCATTGGATCACTATCTACCAACTCCAGGGGCACCTTCTTTTCCAAATCAGTGCATTTACCCTCATTAGCATTCATAATCACGAGTTTTCCGAGACCCGCTCCACAAGGATCGGCGCAGATGATGGAACACGGAGGAGTCTGCACTGAGGAAGATGAGAAGCCATTAGAGAGGATCTCACGGACGCAGGTTTCCCAATGCGAAGCCTCGAGAGGCAGCTGAGAAGCAAATACATGAATTAGGATGTTCTGAATGAGAAGCAACAAAACACCCTCACATGTTCACATCTTCTCCACCTAAATTAATAATACAGAGCAATGGCCTTGCCCACCAAGTCTTCATTCTCCAAATTAGTTGGGATCTTTTTGAGATATCATTAGCTTCCCTTTTCTAAATTCTACTTTTAATGCTAATCAAACTCTTTATTACGTGGAAACTCCCAAACTTGGTTTAACTATCTCCTGATTGCGAGCCAGCTATGTGTTTTTGCCTTAGGCATCTGCGAGCGAGAAAGGAAAAGACAACATATCTGCAGTGTTGATCTTTTGATGGAGAGACAGAGAGAAAAGTTTTGTTCCATCTGATTCTGATTAACATTTATAATATGAAAAGATCCAAAGAAAATAAATGGATAAAACATCCAAAGGATCTTTTTATTTTTATAATATGAAAAGATCCAGAGACGGTTCCAAACCATTCCAATTAAACAAAAAACAGAGTTTAAACGATAAGAAAGCAAAGGAGTGAAATCACACAGTACGTAGTTGTTTTTCCGCTATATCGGCGAATTCAGGAACAAGAGACCTTAAGCACGTTTTAAAACTACCATGAAGATGACAACCACAGCTAATCCAAACAGAGAACGAGGGTCGTTGAACAATGTCTGCTTCTTGTCTTTTCCATCCTCTGTAACTGATCCTAACCCAAACAAGTCCCCAAAGTAGGAAGAGACATTTTCCATCAATCGAACAGCTTTTAGCTTCATGTCCTGCAGAATCTCTAAGAGTTCCATTGGCTTAGTTTCCATGACTTCACACTCCGTCGTGCTCGAATGTTCAGATTGGTCGTCATTGTCAGATTCAACTTGAGAGGAAGCAGCTGAAAAATAGACAAAGTTTCTGTTAAGTTGCTTTATCATCAAGACATATACCAAATGATTCACTAGTAATGGCGAAGTTTTAGTTACCAGTATTGTTGGTCTGGAGAAATTTCATGAGATCCTTATTCTCCATAACAGCATCCCATACTTTTGGGTCACACGCAATGGAAGCAACAACAGTCTGTAATAAGCAAACATGTGAAAGAGTTAACAAAGCTCTGTTAAATCAAAAGGGTTATATACGAAGCAATCTGAGACATATACCAAACAAGAGCAGAGACCATTTTAACCGAGGAAAGCTCGGAAACCAATATACCTGCGCGGCGGTGTTTTCACTCAGAAAAGCAAATGCTTGAAGAGCAACTTGTGGAACAGCTGATTCAACAGCTCTGTTCTCAGAAGATTGAAAACCTGAGAGCATTTTGGAAACAGCACCACCATCATTTGATCCTTCCATAGCAGCAGACGACTTTGGAGATGACATATACACCCTAATCCATTAACAACCATCAACATACACATAAACACAAACTTCTACTTCAAAGAGTTTCAAACCTAACCCTAATTCATCAAATTCAAGCACATATCCTCAAATTCTCAATTATTCAAGATTTACAGAATCAAAAAAACAAAAACACAAATTAGGATCAAATCTTACATATTAATTGCTTCTTTCAGATCCTCAGTAGCTTCTTTAGCCTCTTCAAGACTAGGAGGTTTGCTAAAAACAACTCTAGGAATTGGCTCTTCTTCAGCAAATTCCCAATCATCCCAAACCGGTCTCTGCATAATCATACCATCTTCTTCAACAGAAGGATGAACCGCCGATGAAATCGAAGCCGAAACCGGTTTAGACGCCGCCGCCGCCGCGGTTTTAACCCTAAAATGTTCAGTCGCCGGAGGAAATCCAAATCCTCCCCTGAATCCTCCTTTAGCAACTCCGATTCCAGCAACTTTCGCTGCCGTCGCCATAGCTCTTCCTCCTCCCATGATTCTTCGATCGAGAAGCTTGAATCGCAGAAGATTGATCACAATTACGAATTGGGAGATATTTTGGAAAATGTATAGTTGTGATTTCGATGAAGATTCTTAAAGAAAGAGAATACCTTATCCGCGAAGGTAAAATGATGACGTGAGCAATAAATGGGCGATATTTTATATTTATTAATTATCGTAATTAAGGAAATAATCTTTATGTAATCAAGGTTTACTAGGTCAAAAGTATATCTTATTAACGAATCTGTTTGTTCGACTAGATTCGGTTTATTTATATAATTTTCCGATTTTGTTCAGTGGATATTTTTTATGATACATAAAATCTTTTATTTTTTGGCAATGATACATAAACTAAAGCTTTTGTTTTAAATTTTTCATTAATAAAATTTAAAGGGTCATTTATAGATTTTCTTTACAATCACGTAAAATTTCAGTTACGGTTTTGTGGTATTTTCCCTTGAATTTAGAAACTGATTTTAGTAAAGATAGTTGAGATTTTTTGGTTTCGTATATTCTACTATGATGTTGCATGTGAGTTTATTTTGATTTTTGCTCTTTATGTGTAAATTATTAGTCAGAATGGTAGAAATCATAATCATCCCCATATTATTCAAACGTTTTGATTCATTAGTGAAGTCTTGATCATACAATATTACAAAGGTTGGAATCAATACAAATAACCATAGAGCTAAGGGGATGTGCGCAAAAAAAAAACATTAAAGAAAGTATTTGAATCAAGGAACAACAAGCTGTGAAATGTGACCTTTGGTAAGCAATCCATACCTAGTCTCGCGTCTAATACATTTTCAGGCCCCATAAAAAACCTCTACACCAAGACAAAGATGGACTTTTTTTGTCCATGGAGTTTTGAGTCGATATGGTTTCAATTTTTACATCTAGTGCACAATGTCAATGTTTATGATGATTTTACCTTTTGTCACTTATCAGGATCCATTTTCTTCATTTATAGGGTAAGCACATTTTTTACTCAGGGTTTGAGGAGACTTTGACGGAAGTTTCAAAGATTTTGAAAAACAAACAAATGTTGCATTTTTTGAAAAAGAGCTGAAAATGGTTGTATATTGTAGAGAATGGATGAAAAGAGAGGGAACAAAGTAGAGAAGCCAAAAAAGATTTTTTATGTTACTAACTTAAAATGAAAAAAAAAAAATAGTGTAGGATGCAAATTATAAGTTGTTTGAAATCATGCACACTTCATTTTGTTTGAAACGTTGAAATATTGAAAAAACGTTGAATTCCTATCACTATACCATTTCATGCTGGTTTATGTCGCAAATCTAAATTTGAGGTTCATGAGAAATTGGTTCGAAGTTCTGAAAAAAATTTAGACTGTGCTGCCGCACAAATCAAGATCGAGAATTGTTTGATGGTTCGGTCACAATAGATGATGACCTGTAGCCAGAAACACGTTTATTCTCCTTTTCTGCGTGAGAGAGGATTGGTTAAAGAGTATTCAAAGCTAACTACGACTTGAATGAGAAGAATTGAAGCCGACTAATCGTTTTAGAGATATTTAGTTTTGTTTTGTCAAGTAATTATTATCTTTGTTTGTTGCAAATGTTTGTTCTACGTTAGTTTAGTGTATAATCACAAAACTTCAGAAAAAATGTTAATGAGTATTACAGAAAAATGTATTTACTTCAGTTTCATTCAGACCTAACTTTCCAAAAATTCATGTCCCTATAGTATATGTAAATTCTTTTACATGAAAATTTAAATTCTCCACAAATCAACTTATGTAAAATCCTTTTAAATTTTAAGTCCACTGACGTCTTTGACACTATAAGTATATTTTAACCGAAGGTCATCGACCAAATTTAAATTAGTTTACGCTTTGGAGCAACTTTGTAACTATCACAAAACATTAAACATCATCCATTTAGTCAAAGACAATGAGATACAGAATTTTAAACTAAAACACAAAACATAGAATAGAACATGGGGAGTCTCATTTCTACAAGAACTCTCAAACAAAATTCTATTCTACTCATATAATTAGCATACTAATCTTTCTGATTAGTTTACAATTTGGAAATTTTCAAATGGACAATCGGGCTCCTCTAGGTCTTTCTCTCTACTTCTCATATTTGAGCTTCAAATCCTCTATCTCTTCTCATCTTTTTCTTCAAAACACCTGAAACATAAATCCAATAATTAAATCTTTGCTTTGATGAGTAATGTACGATCCAAAATGAAAAAAAGTTCTTAGAAACAACGTAATTTCGAACAAATTATGCATTCTTACCATTTCTTGAAGTGGGTTATTCGAATTAGGAAAAGAGAACTGTACATAATATTCATATTTGGTAAAGTAAAAATCAATGATAAAATTTGGTAAAAGTTACTGATCGAATATACTACTTATTCAAGTAAAAAACAAGAAAGTAAAAGAAGGAAAGGAAATGTTATGTCAGCAGTTACAGAGACAAGACTCGTATTGAAACTGGCAAATATATCAGACAATAAAATCCAAAAGAGTTTTCAAAGTCATCGAAACATAAACGAGAAAGAAAAAACACAAACCCAAAGCCCATGACTTCACTGTACCACTTCTATTCCCCACAAGCCACAATAACAATATTCTTTTTTTTTTTTTGAAAAATAAACTAATTTTGCAATTAAATTATACAGTTTTCTCCACTCGATCTGAAAAAATTAAAAATCTTAACGAATAATAGAGCGAAAACTGATATTATTTGACATTGAAACAAAAAATACACTAGAACTAACTCTGTAACTTATCACATTGATATTAGTCAGTCGTAGTCACCTTCTTTTTTCCTTTTTGAAATTGTTAGTTTTTGCAACAAACATTCAACTTAGAACTTTGTAAAGAACGACTTAAATATTTGAAAATTTTTGGGGTAAAAAAACAGTATTTATTAACACAAAAATGTACTTTTCACAAAACTAAACTAGTTTAAAGTAGAACAAATAAGCTTCAAAGCCGACTAATTAGTTAACTGATGAATGCCAAATTTCTGAACAATATTTTCTATGCTGACAAAATTAAAAATAGGAAAAACGAAAATTCAGATGATATAATTGTATACTATATATGAATATTAAATTAAGAAAATCCAAATAACTATTTTTATCATAACAAACCAAAAAAAAAAACAGATTAAAACTAAAATTAATAAACCAAAAAATCGTTTTGTGTTAATCCAAAAATTACCGTCAGGGTTACACTTGGGTGGGTCTTCAAAGAGAGAAAGCGAAAGCTGTTTAAAAGCAACGCCGATATCAAACACAATGACGCCGGAATTTGGATTCTCGACGACGATATCTTTCACCTGAAGCCACAAGAAGAGCTCTTTCTGCGATAGCCCTTCTACTCCGATGAGGCTCCCATAGCTGAGATTCGCTCTCACGACGGCTTCAAAGTGCACGTTCGTCTCGAATTTAGCGTAACACGGCGCCGCGAGGAAAACCTCGAGACGACCGTCGTTGTGAAGAATATAAGAATCAACTTCTTGCGGTAAAAGTCCCGCCGGGAGACCTTTTGATCGGAGAACCTCATGGACCGTTGGATAATACGGCGAGGATAGAGAAAAAGAGAGGAGGAGAGTGATGAAGAGAAGGATCATACGGGAGATGAGATTGTTCATAGCTTTTCACTGATAGAGAGAGAGAGAGAGAGATAAAAGTTTTATTTTTTTACGGCGATGATTCAAGTGGAGAGGGAGGATCTTAAATGGGGAAGAAGGATAAGCTGAAATGACGTATTTGCCCTTGGTTGGTGAGTGAATGGGGCCATATATAATAGATAGTATTGTTTTTTCTTTTTGTTAAAAATATAATAGATATTGTTAAGTGATTAAAGTTCATAAGTTTCAAAAAATTTAAGAAAAAATGGAAATAATATAGCGATTGATAGAATTTCTTTTATCATGTGGAGAAATAATGACACAAGAGTGGTTGGACACACCAAAATTAGCTTTAAAACTTTTTAAATACTGTGGAAAAACTTGAATTATTGATTGAAGTGTCTAATTAAGAAAATAATTATAACTGTAAGTATGCAAATGTGTATTAACCACCAAGGCACTTATGGTATGAATGCTTTTTAATTACACGAATACGAATTTTATTTATTCGAATTGGTACAGCAATGTTTGTTTAATAATTAATTAATGTAAAGTAGTATTTTTCTAAAATTGATATTTTTATCCTTCTATAGATTTGTATTTAGCTAATAATGTGAAAACGCATGTGATTTTTTTGTTTTTATTTGTCAACAACAAAAGCATGTGTATTATATATAGTCTGATTTTGTATTGTAGCATTGAATAATATATATATAGGGACGTGCTATGTATATAATTAACTTTGATTGTAGGGTAATCCAACACCTAATGAGTATAAATTAGATGCTACAAATTGATAGTTTAAGGAGTAATGCAGAATGCTTCATCATTTACTTAATTGTTTTTGTTTTCATTTGTTGGTGCTGAAAGCTTCTTATTAAATACATCTTATCATAAGTAGTGCAATAGAACAATTATATTTTAAGAAAATAGGGAGAAAAAATGCTGTATTTGTGGACTATTGTTGCATATTTGACAAAACAAAAATAAAAAGGTTAAAAAATAATTTAATGAGTACTAATTTTATAAATAAAATATACGAATAAAATTTTGTGAGTTATCACAAAACAACAAAGTGCCCAGTATTACTTATTTTCTTTATTTGTACTTATAGAAGGATATAGAATAATCTAGAATATTTTATTTAATTGTTTATTGACTCTCATAATAATAAAGGTTATGATACATACATATGTTTATATAGAGAGGAGAAGGATAAACCTAATTAACCTAGTTTCCTAATATACACAAATACATAAATGAGATAATTATTAGAAATATATTCAAAAATATTCTAGATTATTCTATATCCTTCTATAGTACTAGCTAGAGAGTAAAATAACCGTCACTAAAAATGTTGTTTATTCGATTATTTATTTTAGCAGTATAAGAATAAAATATTACTTACATTTTGATTGTTGTGATTTAATGTATGTAATTGACTAGAATAAAATATTTGTCGAAATATCAGTTATGGTTAAACTCTTTTCGTCTTTAAAGCAGTGTGCCACATAAGCTCTGGGTCATAGAGCTTTTGCATGAACGGGAAACAAAGTAACGGTTAAATTCTGCGGCAGCCAAAAAAAATCTCACTCTTGGAAGGGTAATTTCGTCTTTTCC